ATAATTCTATGATATATATGAAAGTTAGAGTAAATCCCAAGAGTTCTCATTACAAAGAAAATTTGTTGTCTTTTTTTGCTTTTTATTTATTTTGTATCTATATGAGATGATGAATGCTAACTAAACTTACAGTGGTAATCATTTCACAACATATGTAAGTCAAACCATTATGCTGTACACCTTAAACTTATACTAGTACAGTGATGTATGTCAATTATATCTCAGTAAAACTAGGGGAAGGGGGTACATAATCCTTATCACTACAGAGGAGAAGAGAGGAGGGGGGTAATATTGTAGGGGGAGGGGTTGCAGATAATTTGCTAGAGAGGCTCTCACTTCTCCAGTTAGGTTTGGGGAGAGAAAACACCCAAAGGGTAGAGGGAAAGGTAACATCTTAAGAGAGGGAACGGTGGAGCACTAGTGTGGAATTGAGAAGACTCCTCACCCTTGATGGTAAACCCCCGATTATGATCCCACCAGCGCTCAATAGATGTATACTGAATTAAATTCCAAGGAAGAACACTGAAAATCAATGTTGATTTGAATTTTTCATTCTGTAGAGGCATAAAAGAGTGGTGACGAGGCTATAGATCAGGCAAAGGTTGGAAACTGGGCCATGTCACTTAGTAGTGGTGTAACCTTATTTAACTGAACTCATCATCTCATCTGCGAAATGAAACTAAAATCATAAAACCAACTTCAATAAATCGGCATGAGAATTCCGTAAGCACATGTTAAGCACTCAGATTTTCAAAGTTATATTCTTATTACTATTATGGTTAAGAAAGAACGATAGGAAGATTAACATTTTCTAGCCTCAATTCTGTGGCTTAAATGCTTCCAAGCATGAATCCCATTGACACTCTGGCCACCCACTCACCCTATTGGTGGAAAGTCAGAAGAGATGAAGGCCTCAAGGATACAGCTGTGTCCTTTCTCATTTCTGTGATCTGCATTAGGAAAGCACTGGCCATTTCCTCCACGCCTCCAGATGACCTAGAGACAACCCACAACACACTTCCATTCCCTCTTCCCTTCCTCTCACCCTCAGGTTCTCTGTCTCACACACACCTTCAAGCCCCAGATTTCCACCTGGATAGGCGCTTCCTCCATACAGCAAACTGTACCTTCCCTTCCTCACCTCAGTTTCTTCCAGCAAGGCACAGACAGCCTTCCAAGCCTTGTTCCAAGAAGAGTCCCCACCCACCAATGCACACACAAAGCTAAGACTCCTAATTACTGCCCAAGGTCAAAGTCTCAGGTTCACTCAACCAATTACTTAAATGTGTTACTATGCTTCCTGCATTACTATCCAAATACCTCTTCCCAGAGATGGTTTCAGAGGTCCTGCCCAGGCTTGTTCTCATGTGAATCTCTAGAGTGCTGGTTAAGGGCCCCTACAGCCTACAAGGTAAAGTTAAATCTCCTTAGAAAAAAAATAAAAGTCCCCCGCTTTCTCCAATTCCCACAGCCCACTTCATGCTAGCCATTCAAAATACAGCCTCAAGAATAAACGTTCCCAATCCACCTCACAGATTGAGGCTTACCTGTCCTTCCTCCACTTGGACAACTCTTCAGACACCACTCCCGCCGTGCTGGCTTCCCTTAAATGGACCCTCCTCAGTGCAGAGCAGCCAAAACATACCCGGAAAACAGCATGCGCATGCGCATGTACACCCGTGGTCTTCAAGAAATCCTGTCCTCCTCATCTTTATACTCCCAGGGCCAGCCAGTTCCTGGTTTGCAGTGGGTAGGCTCCTGAACTTGTATGCTTCCTGCACTGTTCATCTCCTTTATGTAAAAATAGCCGTGTGTTTCATCCTCTGATTTTACCATGTTACCTGGCACCTTCTATCCCTCTGTCCATTTTCCATTAAATGCAACAAATTTCAGGGCTAAAGGGGCTTCCCAGTACATTCCAGTGAGTTACACCTTCCCAGTGAGTTACACTCTGCCCTTGGCCAAAAACTCATCATCATCACAGCATTTGAAACCATAGTTCTGAAATCATATCTGATCTGACTATTCCACAGTTCTCCCAATAATCCATGTGAGTTCCACAGCAGGGTAAAGTCACACATTAACACCAAGAGTCAAAGTTCTGGGTTGTCATTTTGAGCACATTTCTAATTAGCTGGGTGACCTTGGGCAAGAGTTACCATGGAGATGACAGTGTCACCAGGCCTAGTTCTCAGGGGATTTTTGAGATGAAAATGGAATATCTGATGGGAAAGTGTTTTATATAAAGTGCCAAACACTGTACATTCATACAGGATATGCTTAACAACTTTTATCAAATCTAAACCATTGACTGTAAGATGTACCATCAACTTAGAATGAAAAAATTGCTCAACTATGACACATCTATGATTATAAGACAGCCCAATTTCAGCGATATTAAAATTTGAAAAAAAAAAATGTACTTTAGAACTGATGAAATACAACTTATTTGTCTCTAAAATACAGGCACTTGTTATAAAATCTTCATATTTGCCAATGGCACATAATAGGTTCTCAGTAATATATGTCAAGTAAGTGAGTGAACACCCAATGATAATATTCATAGGCCAAATTATTGCCTCTCTCTAGAAATGGGCAGCAGAAGGTTTTCCAGTGCCAGTACCTCCCCTCTCAGTCATGTCCCAACCTGCTCAAAACCCTCAAATGATGACTTCACGTCATATCCAAACTCCCAAGCCTGGCATTTTTAAGGCCCTTCATAATCAAGCCTCCTTTCCCACCAACCACAGGCTGGAACTCTGCCCCAGAGTGATGACCTCACCACCAGAATATGTCACTCCAAGGGTCCTAATCAGTCCTAGCCATAGTAACCAGCTCAGCAGCTCAGCTTCTCCTCCCTCTACCCATCCCCAAAGCCAACTCTAGGCTGGCCAGCTGCTTACAGTGAGCATGACCCTGCGGGACTGCCTAACCCAGCAGTTCTCAACCTATGGGTCACGACCCCTTTGGCGGTCAAAAGACCCTTTCACAGTGGTCGCCTAAGACCATCCTGCATATCAGATATTTACATTATGATTCATAACAGTAGCAACATTACAGTTATGAAGTAGCAACGAAAATAATTTTATGGTTGGGTCACAACATGAGGAACTGTATTTAAAGGACCAGAAGGTTGAGAACCACTGGTAACCCAAAGGTCCCAGGCCTACACCCTACCTTTCAAGCAGCTAACCCCAACTACTTCTCTTCCACCTAGAGTGTACATTCCGGACTGTAAAGGCCTGGGCATTGGAGTTGAGGGGCAGTCCTACAAAGATTCAATGCAAGACACACTTCCTTTTAACAGTCCCCAGTGCTAGCAGGAACCCTGGAAGGAGAAATGCTGGTCATGGAGTAGAGTAAATCCTATTGGAGATATTGCGCCCCCTCCCGCATCATCCACCATTATTCACTGTAGCACCGACTTTCTCTGGCCCTTCATTTTTATTTCCCCATCTGTAAGAGTGAGGCAGGGTGAGGATTGGGAAGGGGGAAAAGGAGGTAGTAGCTTCCTTTCACTCCACTTAAAGGCTTTCTTAAAATGCACAAGTGCTGAGAGAGGTAAGCCATTAAGTCACTGACACCTGAGTAAGAACAAGTTTTACTGGAAGGCAAGCAATTTAGAAAAGGGGAGAGGGTAGAAGGAGAAAGAGAATTGGAGATAAAGTTAAGTGAGTCTGGTATTAGAAAAGTAACTCAGAGAGGCCCCTAAATTTTTGCATTTTGTGTTGAGGGCTGGGAGGCAGTGGATCCCTGGGGAAGGAAGCCTAGGAGATATCTTTCTGGTCTCCATAGCACACCAAAGTCCCAAAGACATTGCTCTGTCAGAGTACCTGGTCACAAGTCCACCGATCTCAAGCACTCTCCCTCCAACCCCATGCCCTCAACACAGTAACATTTACAGTTTCAGCTCTACTCTCCACATTTTATTTAGTATTCTTTGGTCTACAGCCCACCCCCACCTGCCCCCAACATCCCACCAGCCCCAGCCCCACCCCCCACCCTACCCCCACTCCTGCGCAAATGACCTCCCTCCATGTCACTGGCTAGCTTCAGAAAACTCCCATCCTTCAAAAAGCCCCGATCAAAGGGCCATCATTGTCCGCTCTCCAGGGACCAGGAAATCAAACTCCTTTTCCTGAGCCCATTAAAAGATTATCCACGCCTTTCCCCCAGCACTCAGCACTTTATGTCTAGGGTCAGGTTCGGCTCCTCGGTGGTCTGAGCGCTCTCTGAGGGCAAGAACTGGGCCTTATCTGACTCTCCAACCTAAAAACCCACCAATGCCCTCTGGCACACAGTGGGTCCTGGAGAAATGCTGGAGAACGGAAATGAGGAATTGGGAGCCATTTATTTTCATTACAGTCGGCCTTTAGTGACTGACTTCTGGGGAGGCCCTCCTTCTCCCTGGACCTCAGTTGCCCCAACTGTAAAATGGGGGCTTGGATAACTGTATCCCTAGGCCCCTTGCATGGTGACAACTGGGATTCCGCGAAAGCTCTAAGCAGCTGGGTGTGGCCCCGCCCCCTGCGCGCCCAGAAAGGCCCAGGCTGGGGTCACACAGGGAAGGGCTCCGACCCCGCCCAGACCGCGATCTGAGCTTCCCGAAAAACTCCGGGTCCCCCTTCAATGGCGTGTACCCCGTGATTGCACCGCGGCTGGCACTTCCGCACCGCGGGCCCTTCGGCCGGGGCAGGGCGCACACTCCACACCCTGCGCCCGCGCGGCTGCCACCCCAGAGGCGCTCGCGGCGGGGGAGGCTGGGGGTTCCCGAGGCACCGGCGGGCGGAGGGTGAGGGGGAAGGAAGGAGGATTTGCAACAATACCTCTGGGAGGAGGCAGCCGGGGCAGCGGCGGTGGCGGCGGCGGCTGGAGGCGGAGGCTAAGGCGTAGGAGGAGGTGCCCAGGCACTCCCCCTCCCATTGTCCCCAGCCCCGGACAGGCCCGGCCCCGCGCCCCGCAGCGTGTCCCGCGCCCCGGATCGTGCTACCAGCCCTTACCTTGCAGCGCCCGGCTGTCCCCCTGCTCGCTAAAGCTACTTATCCCGGGAAAGCTCGCGCGGGGCCCGGGAGCGAACCCACAGACAAAAAGTGAAACTTCGGCAGGGCTGGAGCGACTGCTGGTTGGTGCCTTTCCCCCTCCTTCCTTCCCACCGTCCCCACCCCCTCCCCTCGGTCTCCCGTGCGGTGCCCTGAGAGCTGGAAGCTGACGTCAGGGGCCTGAATTCCTGACTTTGCCTGCACGCATTTGTCCATGTAAGGTATGGGAAGGCGGGTGCCCGGGAGCCGCGCGGCGCTGCCTGCTGGGGGAGGGGGCGCCCGCGGCGGGCAGGGGCTGTGCCAAAAGGTGGGCGCACAGCGGACATTTTATTTCCTGGAAATGAGAGGAGGGGACGTAGGGATTCGGGGAGCTCTCAGAGGAGGAAGAGAAAGGAGGTGTGGAGGCTTTGCCCGCACTGGAGGAAGAGGAAGAAGATGTAGAAGGAGGAAGCGGCCGAGTCGAGGGGCTGTTTGAGAAATGGGAGAACGTGCATCTGCCCTTAAAGGCGCCAACTTAGGGCGCTCAGTCTGAGCAGCAGAGATCCTGCTCAGATTCCTTCCGAGATCTGGGTCCTGAGTCTCTCCCTGGATTCCCAATAGGACTCCTAACGTACAGGAGGTCGGAGCTGGCTAAGACCAACTTCCAATCTGTCCACTTCCCACGTGAGAAAACTGACGCTCTCCGAAGAGAAATGACTTGTGCAGAGTCACACACGCCACCGACCCAGGCGCGGGACCTGGGTGTTCAAACTCACAATCCCAGTTCCCTCCTCCTGTCAGAGCCCCGACTTCCTCCTTCCCACAGAGATAGAACCAGGTTAGATGTTAGCGGGCCACGCAGACCACCCAATGAAGAGAATTCCAACTCCCTTTGGCCCGGAATCAGTTCCTGGAAGGTCTGATTGACAACCCTGGAGAACAATGACGTTGCTTCAAGGCCACTTCCTCTGTCCTAGACTCAAAAAAAGGAACCCCTGGAGTTTAGCGTTTATTTTACAGCCTGGTCCTGAAGCCCAGAAACTTTTTTCTGTGCTTATATCTCCAAAAAGAAATCAGCGAACTGGGTGAACTGATTTGAATAAAAGCAAGCCTGTTCTTGGAAAGTTAGAGTTGAATTTTCCCCTCTGACATTTGTAAATGTGCGCACTCATGGAAACCACCATTTACTATGCCAAGGAGTTATAATGTGCAGCAGCCATTGCCTGGGAGGTGGTCCAAGGCTGGGGACTTTGTTTCCTTGTATTTCTATCCTATTGATATCTACAATAATAATCCCTCACTTTGGCACATCATTAAAGCAGTTTATCAAAGCTTCATGTTAGCTAGGACAAAGCATAGTCCCCCTTTTACATTTGAGTGAAAAGGTAAAGTGACTTGCCCAACACAAGCACCTAAACTCACCTCCACCCATCCAAGTCACCTGACTAATCCCAGGATGTTTCCACCAAACAGGAGACCCTGACCTCCAGCAGGACTTAATTCCTATTCATGAATGTTGAGAGTACACTGAGTTGCCTATACATGAAACTTCCAAAACTTGGTTCTAATGGGATTTGGTGGAATTTTTTGACCAAGAATTAAAGAAATTAAAGTAGAAACTTATATTATTGCACTTAACGTCTATTTAACGCCTTCCTTATGCAAGCTCTTTGAATTCCTGAGTTCAAATTGCTTAATCTCTCTTCCTCTCAAGTTCTCACCTACACGTACAAAAATAGGAAGATAGTAGCCGAGAGATAAGGTCAAGAGTATCTAGTCCATGCAATAATGAAATAGTTTTCTTTTTGCAACTAACATAATTTGAAATTTTTTTTAAAAAAATGAACTCTTTGTTATGGGGCTCTAAAAAGATCATAACTTATTCCAACACAATTCTACCTTCAACATTTCAGCAAACCCATATTCTAAGGGGTAGTGTTTACTATGAAAAACACCTGGTATCACACAAAGTAAGAATGGATTTACCCAAAGCTCATCGGATATAACAGGACTTGACCAGCATTTCTTTTTATTTCCCCCATTAACCCACTTATAAAGAATAATAGAGTTCTAATGAGGATTAATAAGATTTAATAAGATATAATTAGAGTCATTCATTTCCTCCATCATACACATTATAAGAGTGCTGTGTTGGATCCAGAAATGCTACTAATTATGTTGAAACTGTTATATGGCTGTGTTGGGGAAGATCACTGTGTTTCTCCTCCTGAAATATTTATGAATTACCCAGGTGGGCATGGTGTTAGCATAAGCATTATATAAAGTTAATCACAAAAGATGATTTCAACTCATGAAGCACTCACCAGGAGTATAAGAGGTAAAGTCATAAATTGGATGCTTGGCAAACTACATGCAGAGTTGTCATCAATGCAAGATCAAATCAAAAGGCTCATTGTCATTTGCTGATCTGGTTTCTTTTGGATTCTCACTTTTCTCAGCATCGCTATTAAAACCTGCTGTGTGCAGGGGCTTTGGAAAGAAGGGAAGGGTGTGTAAACTTGCAGACTCAATGCTAAAAAAAATACAGATTTATAAATTGGAAGACTAACAGAAGCACAGAATTTCAGGTGGGGCAGAGGTTATGTATTCCGATGATTACACATGGTAGCCTAAAGGCCTACAGAAGCATTCTGACTGGTCCAGTGATAGCACACAAAACTTTGAGGAAGGCCTGGCTGTGGTCCCACCATGCCCTTGCATCCATTATAGCCTCTTACCCAAAGGCCCTTGTGTAGCTCAAGTCAATCTTTTCTTTGTGTCTCTGATATGCCAGGCAATATTCTAAAGATTGTTCATATGCTTTTCATTTAATCCTCACAAAGCCCTTCTGAGGTTGGCATTATCACTTTCTCTATTTTGGCCATGAGGAAAGTAAAGCCCAGAGAGGTTAAGTGGTTTGCTCTTATGCCAGAGCTAGTAAATGGGTAAGCTGAGATTCCCCCTGAGCCTAGGCAACCTGGTGCTTTGCTCACTCACTGCTGAGTGACCATCTGGTCTCAGTTGGAACACTCTGATGTGCAGAACTCATAATCTCCAACAGCTGACCAAGGAGAAAAGATATGAAGAGGCTACTGGAGAAAAAAGGACAAGGTTAGGCATGGAAGATAAACATCAACATGATGTTGCCTCTCCATGCTTAACACCCATCAGGCCACACTCCTTAATGTGGTTTGCACAGCCCTTCAGATTGTCTGCCAGTCCTTTACATGTACTTACCCTCCAGCCAAATGAAATTCTAGTGGTTTCCCAAACATATCTTACCTGTTCATGCTTATCTGCCTTTACACAGGTTCTTCTTTCTTCCAGGAGCCCTCTTCCTTCTCTCTCCACCAGGCAACCCTTACCTAACCTCTTCAGATTCCCCTTAAATAATGCCTCTTTTGAGAGGCCTTCTAGCCCCTACAGACATATTACTCCTACAGAGTGCTACCATTACTCTGCTTATCTCAATCCATATGACTCTGACTAGTGTCATTGGTTACCTTGTCTTTCTCTGCTACTGGACTGAGAATCTAATTTATCTCTTAGTCCTTAACACAGGGCTTGCATTGATCATTGCAGACACTCAATTGTTTCTCCTCCTCCCCTCCTCTTCCATCTCCTTCTCCTCCTCCTCCTCCTCCTTCTCCACCTTTTAAATCTTTATTGTTGAAAGTATTACATTTGTCTTCTCCTTTTTCTTCCCCTTCTCCTTCCCCTCCTCCCCCTCCTCTTTCTCTTAAACCTCCTCCCTCTTCTTCCTGTCAAAGGCTGAGGAAGATGCAGAGAGTATAAGGCCCAGGCATTTAAATAAAATCACTTAACGTCTTCAAGAGATGAGTCCTAGATGTAATAAGACCAATGGGAAGGAAAAAGAAGAGTCAGAGGGGCCTAACCATTTGGAATTAGAACCAGGATTGGCATGGGGAGACAAAGGAGAGGAAGGTTTGTAGTCCTTTCCTTGCCCTAAAACTGCTGTGTGAACTCATGGCAAGTCACCTCCTCTCTGATCTCGTTTTCTTTATCCATAGAATTAGGTTCTTAGATTTGATATTCTCCAACACTTTCCCAGCTCTTTGATTTGATGCTTCTTTCAACCTGTTGACCAAATTCATCTTCCTAAAGAATAGCATGCCACATTATGTTCTGTTCTAGGCCTTCTCACATTTATAAATTTTATAAATTATCTAAGGATATAATCTACACTAATAAAAGACAAACAAGCAAATTGACCATACCTTTGCTACACTTTAAGCCACACCCACCAGCCAATCAGAGCAACTATATGCAAATTAACCCAACCAAGATGGCGGCTGGCAGCCATGGAGCTGGAGCAAGCAGGAGGCTTGGTTGCCAGTGATGGAGGAAGCCAAGGTTCCCGCCTGTCGCGGCCAGCTCTGAGCTCCAATCAAGGCAACAAAGTTTCAATTATAGAAGATAAATAAACCCCAGATACCTGCTTTCAGCCGGCCATAGCCACGGAGCTGGAGCTAGCAGTAGGCTTGGGTTGCCCCTGGCAATGGAGGAAGCCAAGCTTCCCGCCCTGCCCTGGCCAGCTCTGAGCTCCACTCAAGGCTACAAAGTTTCAATTATAGAAGGTAAATAAATCCCAGAATAAAAAAAGAAAAGAAAAAAGGAGAGGCTGGGAGCTTCTGTCTCTGGGGGGCATAGCCAGCCTGAAAACGGCTCTCAGCCCCTCACCCAGACTGGCCAGGCACCCCAGTGGGGACCCCCAACCCTAAAGGGAGTGTGGCCAGCCTGAAAACATCCATCAGCCCCTCACCCAGGCTGGCCAGGTACTCCAGGGGGGACCCTCACCCTGAAGGGGGTGTGACCAGCTGCAAACAGCCATCAACCCCTCACCCAGGCTGGCCAGGCACCCCAGCGGGACCCCCACCCTGATCCAGAACACCCTTCAGGGAAAACCAGCCAGCCCCCACCCATGCACCAGGCCTCTATCCTATATAATAAAAGGGTAATATGCAAATGGACCCTAACAGCATAACGACTGGGAATGACTGGTCACTATAACACACAATGACCACCAGGGGGCAGATGCTCAATGCAGGAGTTGCCTCCTGGTGGTCAGTGCGCTCCCACAGGGGA